TTTCCACCTGCCTGGTTAAGTTAGGTCGAAGGGTTTAGGGTTTAGGGTTTAGGGTTCTATCACCCTCAGCAGTGATGGGTCGAAGCGCCTCTCTGGTCGCTCAGGGGGCGATTTGGCATCTAGAGGCGTCAGGTTTTTCGAATCAGGAGAAGCCATTTGGGGGTTTCCGAAAATAGGGGACCCTAATATAGTACCCTAAATAATAGGATCCTTATTATAAGGACCCCCAAATAAGGTACCCTAATTTTCTGACATTCCCATCTGACTGTAAGGTTGCCGGCTAGGTCCGGATCATAAGGAATCGCTATTGGGGTCTTGACTCCAGACTGCAGCGACGAGGCACTCATACACAGGGACAGCAGGCAGGAACACCTTAAGCCGTTGAATCGCAAACAATTTCGTGTTGCATGCCCTGTACCAAGAAAGCGAGTCCCGTTGTCCTTACACGGCTACGGCATCTACGCAAACCGAAAAAGCCATTGCACGTCAGGTAGGCACTGACCACCTCACTATACCTTGATGCTAGTGATGTAGGGGCCTTTATAATTAGAATAAAGTTTTGGGGTATGTTATGCCATAATTATCATACGGAACTCCTAAAATAGTAGAACCCCCACACTTCGCTCTAGGCCCTCCCCTTACGCCCCATACGACCCTGAACCCCAAACCCGACCGCAGCTCATCTCACTTCGGAGGTGTGGCAGGCACGGCGCAAGCACAGTCGCAGGGCCTCGCACGATGAAGTCCGGGGCACGTTTAGAAGACCCGGGGTTGAGGGTTTAGGAGTTCAGGGCGATCTGGGACAGGCTTCAAGGATCCTAATTCCGAACTTTGGGCCCTGGCCCCAGGATTTTGCGAGGAGCTTCTTGGGGGGCTGACCCCGCATGATTTATAGGGGCCCTGAGCTCAATCCAACATTGTCTCAGCCATGTCTAAGCCGCGTGGAGCAGCGCATGGCTGCTCTGTCACATGTCTGGGGGCACCTGCTACCTTCACTTTGTCTTCTTGTCCTTCCCTTTGCGGAGCCTCAGTCCATGACTCCAAAATGCGCGTGTTGCTCAGCTGAACCACCGAGGTGGAGTTGTAGAGAGAAGATTCAGGATCCAAATAGGATAATGCACATATCTCGGTCATAGTCGTCATGGTCATAATCATGGTGCCACTGCTGCCGCCCCTGCTGCTACAGCTGCTGCTGCTACAACAGCTGCTACTGTATTGCTACCACTACTGCTACTGCTCGTACTCCTACTCCTGTTCCTACTCCTACTCGTAATCCTCCTCCTCCTCCTGCTGCTGTGCTCGTCTTACTAGCGACTACGACGACGACGACGACGACCAGTCCTCCTACTACTACTACTACGACGACGACGACGACTACTACTACTACTACTACTACTACTCCTGCTCCTGCTCCTACTCCTGCTCCTGTTCCTGCTCCGGCTCCTCCTCCTACTCCTACTCCTACTCCTACTCGTACTGCCACTGATACTGCTACTCCTACTGCTGCTGCTGCGGCTGCTGCTGCTGCTGCTGCTGCTGCTGTTGCTACTGCTACCGCTACCGCTACCCCTACCCCTACCGCTACCGCTAACGCTGCCGCTATTGCTACTACCAGTACTATCAGCAACAGCAATAGAAGCAAGGGCAGTGGTGGCACATATCGGCAAAATCAGCAGTAGTTGTAAAGTCCACGGCAATGGCAATGAAAAGGTTCCCTTCGCATGTGCCGTAAGTTGAGAGCATTGTGCCATGAATACGACAAATATTCCCGGAGATCCCCCCCTTCCATGGAGGAAGTGATGACCGCAGCTTCGGCACATCGCCAACACCTCCTGCTCGGTCATCAGCTTCTCCTGTTGTCAAACACAAAAATGAAATAAAAATTTGGTTTTGGGATTTGAGGTTCAGGGTTAGGTCTTGGAACGACATGGTCGCATCCGACGAGCTTCTTATTCCGGCCAAGCCACACAGACTTCAAACCTATGGATGATTTTGTTTGTGGCTGGGTATCGTCAGTGTCAGAGGGCCAATGTGATGGTGAGGAGCAGTCGTTGAGACATGGTTAACGCTGACGAGCGCTAGCAATTGCAGTAATCATGGTAGCCGTTGTCATCGGCATAGCAATAGCATTGGCGCGGTAGCAGTGGCAGTGGCAGTAGTAGTAGCAGGCAGCAGTAGAGCAGCAAAAGCTGCGGTAGCAGTAGCAGTAAGGCCGTGGTAACAGCAGCCAGCACTGGCACTAGGACTAGCAGACTAGCAGTACTTGTAGTTGCTGTCGTGGCCGGCGGCGTCTTTGTCGACCGCCGACGCGACAGTCGCAGTTGGAGCAGAGCTGGTCGCGGCTGCTACTGTGCTGCTGATCAGAACAAGATTAGCGAGCACAGCATCAGCAAGCGTTACCAGTCTTGTTCTACCGGGTGTTGCCTGGTGGACAGGGTCAGAAGCAAACAGGAACAAAAAGCCTTATGCAAGATCAAAACACAGCAACTCATACAGCAGGCACAAACTGCTCAAAATCCGGAAAATTTTCGCTGGCCTGCGAGCTTGATTGGGTGGCGCCAAAGCGTCGCTCGAGCTCAGCGTCCGTGAGCCCCTGGTTCCACGACAACAGCCCAAACAGGCTGCTGAAAAAAGGCCAGGGTCACCATAGGGTAAGCATAAAGTTACTAAAGGGAATGCTAAGGACATCTCACTGGGCTGCGTCTTCGCTTCGGTTCAAGATCTCGCGAGGGTTTGATATCATATATAGATATATATGTACATGAATGAAGGCAAAAATGTGTAAGATCAGATAGGATAACATGAGAAAAGATAGGATCAGATAAGGTGACATAGGATAACTAATGCAGTTAGTATAATTTAACATAATCTCACACAGGGACATATACAGTATAGTATGACATAATCTAAAATCGTCTCATATAGAGAAACATCACAAAATATGGCATAGAAAGAATCCGATAAAGTACAACATAGTACGGTGCAATACAACATAATACAATCTATCATGACATAATCAAATATTTGAAAGTAAATACAATATGCCATGATAAAGTATAATGCAATATAAGACAATCTAAAATACTCTAACCTAGTCTAGTAAAATTTCTATAGCATACTATACTATACTATACCATACTAGACTAGACTAGACTATACTATGCCATACTATGCTGTGCCAATGCTGTACTGACTTTACTACAACAAGACGCAATACAATACAATATCACATACAACAATAATATAGAACAGTACAGAATACTAACATGCAATACGAAACAATATAGCCTAACATAGCACAATGTACAATACTATACCCAACTATACAAAACTACAAATCTATACAACATACTATACATTCATATGGGACAATATAACATAACAACATCATAAGACCAGATAATACAATATAATACAATCTGCTATTATATAGTCTAATATAATGTCAATATGTTAGAATACGGTGTAATGTAATATGACATGATATGAAATGACACAATATGACAAGAAGACTATAATATATTGTAAAGAAATCTAGCATAATATATAATGTGATATAACATAACATGTTTGAAAATATACTATAACATATTATACTGTAACATCACACAGTACCATACAACACAAACAAATAACATCATGGAATACAACATAACCTAACACAGCAAGACACACTGTAACGTAAGACAATGCAATACAGTAGTGCAACTATGACATAAAGTGACATGCCTTAATACTATATTCTGCCATGTTACAGTATGTTGTATCTATCTAGTGGACATGAGCAGATGGGAAGTGACTGCTTTCCCTGATGCAAAGCTGCACACATGGGCCTTGTAGTCGCTGGACACCCGGCCCTTGACACTCTCCCCCCAATGCTGCCGCTTCGACTCGTTCTCCTTCATGACCTTGGGAGACCAGAAATCCTAAATTTTAGTCCCCTAAACCACCTTAGGATACCATAAACCCTAAACCCCAAACCCTAAACCCCCAAAAGCAGCTCTTGCGGAAGCTTTCACCGGGAGCCGCACTGCCTTGAAATGGCCAGAGGAATGCTTCTCTTTCCTGCAAAGAGATTTCCCCCAGTCCGACTTCCCCTTTGAGGGACCCAGGACGTCGTCTGCGGACCGAAGCCAGACTTGGACGGACAATCATGTCATGCGTACTATAATGATAGTAGAATATACCCGATGAGGGTTCCTGACTGTGAGTATAATATCATATACCGCGGGCCTGTCAGCCTCCGCACTCGCTGCGGCCTGGCGGAAGCTTTCAGCAATCCTTCACTGCAGCAGCCGAAACATCCAGCACCACGCATCAGCCACTACGACTTTGCTTGCTGACCACTAATTATGCGAAATCTCTGAGTCAATGGCCTCGTCTTCGTCCTCCAGGGCTCCGACAGCAAGGATATGGGCTAAAAGCACAGCAACTGGATTGGGGCCTGTCGTCGCACGTCCGCACAAGATGAAAGGTCGGGTATGGATAGGAAAGACAATCCGATGTGTCAGAGAACTTACCGTCAAATCAAAGTGCTACTTCCTATCCAATCAAGCTTCACGAGTGGGGTTCCGGGAAACGACTCATGCTCCTCAGCCATGGGAAAGCTGATATCGATACCAGTTACTAGAACCGATTTAGATCTTTTGCTGCTGTTCCAACTTTCATCGGTAGCCAGATTCATGTGTCCTCTCGCTTCTTCCTCTTCTCCTCCTTTCTTCTTCTTTTCTCCTGTGACGAAATGAAATAACTCTTGCAGACTCTTGATGAAGCGGTCTCTTCCACTGCGGCTCAAAATGACCTATAGCTCAGTGCCAAAAACTCGCAACCTCCTGACAGTTCCCGCTGATCCTCCTGCTTTTCTTCCTCCTTCCGCTTCTCATCCCTGACATGAAATCAAAACCAGACGCTTTGCATTGAGAGCAGGAGCAAACGAAATGGTGCTAGCTGGAATACTGAAGCCTATCATGATCATCGTGGTGATGATTACTAAGATCACCTTCTGCTTCCATCACAACCCCCTGAATCCCCTAAACCCTCAAACCCCTGCGCCTTAAGATCCCTGAACCCGACTACCTCCCTAGCAACGCACTTGCGCTGTCAGCTGCAGCATTGCACCTCACGCTCAAGGTCGCCTGATCTCCGTGAGGCAAAGCCCAAGGGGAGAAAGAGGCGAAGTAGCAACATCAGGCATTATATATACATATCTATATTCATATGTGTATATATATATATACACACATTAACCTATCAGTATATACAATAACATATAACAGAATGTAATGAAAAGGAGAGATTCTGGTAGCAGGAGTAGACGAAGTGGAAAGTCTACTCTCGACCGCTACTGCCACCACTAGTACTGCTGCGCCGGCTGGCTGTATATGGAAAGTGTTTCGCTTGCTCCTTCTACTTACTTATCGCTGTGATGAGTATTTAGGGCACAGCTGGCCCTTCCAGCACTGGACCGTTTGCAAAACCCTTGGATGAGTATTTAGGGCACAGCTGGCCCTTCCAGCACTGGACCGTTTGCAAAACCCTTGGCGCAAGAGGCCGCTTGGCAGCTCTTTTTTGTCGCTCCACTGCCGCAGCTGCAATGCTGACAGTCTTCACTACCAGCATGCTCCCTGAGCCCTCTCGGTTGGAGCGGGAACGGCGTGGCGTTGATATTTGTTTCTTCTTTTTTTTTGGGGGGGAAAGGGGACGCGAGGCTGGGGTCCAGCTCGAGGAGCAGGCATCCCGGCTCACAGCCCGTGCTCAGACAGACGTGCCGTACCTGATCCGAAAACCCAAGTGGCCCAGCATAGGGGCCTTGATAATTAGACTACAGTGTTCTAGTGGGAATTGTGCTATAACGTATAGAAAGCAACCCTAAGAACAATATCAGTAATGATGCCGACCATCACATGATTAGGATCAGTTTGACTCCCTTCTTCGCTGATGCTGACCCGAGAGGCCTGCTGACTTCCCTGAGGTCTCAACTGACATTGTTGGCTCAATCACTCTCCGACCACGTGTGGATTCGTTGTCAAAGCTTACCGGCTTGACATATGGGTGTCCCTTTTTGGGTCCACAATTGTAGCACGGCACCCTGATAAGAAAGGACCCTCAAAGGGACACTGATTTAGAGAAGTACCCATATCGACACCTCAGAAGATTCTGCACTTAGCGAGACTCCGGGCACCCCAGACGCCTGTTCCCGTACCACACCCTTAGTCCCGCAACCCTATGCCGAAACCTGACATCGTGTACTCGAAAGCCCAAAGCTTCAAAGCTCTAGACCCTTAACCCGAAAGAGGGTGCTTCGACGCCATGAGGGTGTTGAGCTTCCGCAGCTCCTGTGCTGTCTACGAGGGCTTTTTGAAAGCTCCGTTTCTCGATACCCCGCGTCGGACACCCCTAAACCCCAAACCCCCAAACCCCCCAAACCCCTAAACCCCTAAACCCCAAACCCCTAAACCCTAAACCCAAAGCCCTAAAGGGCTTGGGGGTCGGAGTGTAGGGCTTCCTTTTCAGTGTGGAGACGACTGCGCGGGGAGGCGTACACCGAATAGGTTCAGTGAGGGCTTAAGAAGGGCTTCGTAGGGTCAAATGGGTTTAGTCCTTTAGGGTTTAGGGTTTAGGGCTTTAGGGTTTTATGGTTTGGGGTTCAGGGCTTAGGGTTTAGGGTCTAGGGTTTAGGGGTTCATAGGGGACTGTAAAGGTTGTTTTAGTGGTTGTATCGTACTTTTTGAGCGGCGTAAAACAGTGAAGGGCTCTATAAGGCATGCATAAGCAATAAGGGCTCTATGTAGAGCTAAACCGCCCCTTTCCCTAAGTGCCCTAAACGGTCCCGACTACAATCTTTACAAGCTGGAGGGGAGTCAGTCACTATTCTGCTGTCGCCATTCGACGTGGAAGCTTGCAAGCGTAATGATGTCATATGCTCAACCAGTCCGCTGCATGCTTGTCTCACATTCAGATGTACCTCTGCATGCATGCTCAACAAAAGGACTGCGGACAAGCATCCAGCGACTCATCCAAACGTTGTATATGCAACACATGAACTCTGCTAAGATGCCCCTGACATCCTCGAAGTGAAAGCACTCTGCGAGATCGGGTATGGCATGATTTTCTAAACATCAGAACCTGGCGCATTGCAGAGAACGGATGCAAGAGGCACACAATCAAACCTCACTTCAGCATCCTAAGCTACAACCCAAACCCAAGCTAAACCGCGCACCGAACTCACGAAACCCCAAACACAATCCTCTATACTATACACCGAAGCCTAAAGCGAACTCTAGGGCCTACCACAGAAGGCCGGAACCCCAGAAAGCCAAAACCATCGACCCCAAAAAAACCCAAACCCGAAGACCCGGAGCCCTAAGACTTTCATCCCTCAAGGCCTAGACAGAAAGCCTCTGAGCCCTATTATATTTTAGGGGCCTCGGACTAGCCACCAACAGTCTTTCCCTCAGGTTCCCTTTTGGCTTTTTCTATGGTATGGTCTACCCCGTCGCGGTAGTGTTCATGGCTACAGCACAATGTGTCCTAAAACCAAAATCTAAGCAAGAAGGCTCCTAGAACCCTTATACAACATATGCTAAATCCGAAGAGTAACTTTACAATAGCCCTTATATAAGAACAATATCCCTAAACCCTAAACCCTAAACCCTACAAGAACCCTTAAGTCTGATTCTTAAAGCACCTTTTTTAGTGACCTCCCTCGCACCACCCCTTTTGGCGGCCTCGCGGATGTCAGTCAGGAGAGGAGTGGTCATGTCGGGCCTCCACATCAGGATTCCTTCTGGGTTCTATTTGGGGGCTCCTTAAAGGGTTCTTTAACGGGTTCTATAATAAGGGCTTGTCCTTAAAGGGCTCTATAAGGGGTCCTTAAAGGGTACTGTAAGAGTTTGTCGTTAAAGGGGTTCTGTTAGGGTTCTTTAAAGGGTTCGATAAGGATTTAGGGTCTAGGTTTCTTCAAGGCTTTTTGATTCGATTGCAGACCTAGGGCTTCAGGGTTGGAGATGCAGGGTTTTAGGGTTCTGGGCTTCAGGGTTAAAGGCTTAGGGTTTAGTTTAGGGGTTAGTTTAGGTTTGAGTTTAGGGTTTAGGCTTTGAAGATGCTCTGGGCGCAAGGATGGCTTGGACAGCAGCGCCGGTCATCAGAACACCCCTGAAACCCTAAACACAAAAAAAAGCCCTAAGCGGCCCTAAACCCGAAACGGCCCTAAACCCNNACCCCACACCCCAAAACCCTGAACCCCCGAAGACCCAAAGAAGCAGCTGGGCCCTCGGGCATCGTGGAAGAAGTCATTTTCTGCGGCTCGGGTGCTCGCTGCGGGAGCACTCCCGTCATCAGAGCACCGGTTGGTAGCTCACCACCTCACAGAGAAGGGCTTCGAGTACCAGGGCTTCCGGGGGGCTAAGAGTACCAGGCTCGGGGTTTAGGGAGTTTAGGATTCTTGGGGCTGTGGAGTCCGGGGGGGGGGGGGGGGGCACAATTCCGGCCTTTAGATTGAAGAACGGTCTGGTGGATTGTGCGAAAGGATTGCTTAGGGATTCCGGGGGGACAGAAGGCCGATGCCTCCACCCAACCCTAATTTCAATCCCCAGATCCTAAACCCTACAACCCAGAAACACACTCTGCTGCATCGGAAGGAACTCTGATTCTACCGACTCATTCTTCTTCAACAGTCTGCGCGGGGCTGGGAAGTTTATTATCGCATATCTACGATGGGAACCCTAAACCCTAAACCNNCCTAAACCCTAACCCCCCCTCCCCCCGAAAAAAAGTAGAAATAATAACAATAATATAAATATTGGCATTTATTCCGACCCCTGTAGTAGAGTTTGGACTCCAGTCTTTCGGAGACAAGTGTTGTGTTGCTCTCGGTGTGTGTGTGT